TGTTACGAAACTGTTCGCAAGATGGCGCAAATCCCCTTTCGACTTTCATTTTCCTTCGCTAAGCAGTTTTTCCCTATTATTGAAATCCCTTCACTGTACGACAGAAAAGAGAAAGAGAAGAAGAAAAAAAATTACCCTCGTTAACTGTATACTAGCTTCCTTATATCAAAAGCATGCACTTATTTTAACTTACGTATATAACGGGTTTTTATTCTTACTGTATAGAAAAATTAAATATAGAATTAACTGTTGGTTTCTGCTCTTGTGCAGATTTTCTTTTATTAAATCATCAGGGATTTCGCCTTACATAAAGTTAAAAAAAATATTTTTATAAATTTCCTTCTTAATGAGTAGATTTTTAAGTGGTTTCGTTATGTTAAAAGCATTTCGTGCTTAGTTATTTATTTATTTCTGAAATGAATAAACGGAATCAATTTAGAAAAATATCTCCAAAGAGGCTAGCTCTAACAAATATTCGCATTGTAGGATAAAATAGTTAACTGAAATGAATAATTTAAATTAAATAATTCGAATCAAGGTGATTATTGCTCTTCAACTACATATCAAGACATCATAGACTCATATTGCTATATATTAAAAACAAAGATAATATCGTTGGAATAGAGCAACGTTTTTATAATAAAAGGAGAAGTTAGTGCTCCTGTGGATCTGTAAGTATCTCTTTTTAATCCAGAACCGTTCGTTCAGGGTCATTGAAACTTGGATGGAGGTTGAAAATTGCCGTTTTAGCCCCCAATAGTAAAAAAATTGTTCGAAAAATTTAACGAATCGATTCTGAAGTGGTGTTAGCAACACAAATTTTTCACGCTAGTCATAATACGCTGGTCACGTTAGTTCTAAATGATTTAAAAGATGATGTTAGTGATGACTTCAAAAAGAACTCACAGCTTTGTTCGAGCAAAATGGAAATTTTTTGCACATTATTTAAGTGATTAATTACTTTTAATTCGCTACATGAAGTCGTAATGATTTTGAACGACAATGGCAAAAAAACCACCTCAACTTATAGCAAAAACTTGAAAGGGTATAAAATGGTTAAAAATAATTTCAAAATATAAAGAATTATTTATTTAGTTTAAAATACTGCTCAAAATTTTAAGTTGAAACATTCTTATTCATAGTTTAGTAGAGTCTGACTTTCTTAAAATTTAACGTTGAAACAGAAGTTCGGACGAGTCTCGATTTCATCTTCAGAAATTAAATTTTATTTATTTATTTATTTTGCTTTTGCTCTTTTACTTACGAAACGATTTTTTTTCTCTAAAGATATAGAAAATATTTCCCTCTAGTATTTTCTTAATATTCTTTAAACTTTAGTTTTCTTGATATGAAATAAAGTCAATTTCATTTTTAATATAAGAAATTGTGCAGTTTCTGACATTTTAGTCTGGTGGCGAAGCTACCTTATTGCTGTATATTATAAAACTAACGATATCTTAGTATCAAACTGTGTTTGTCAACATATTGTAAAGCTTTTATACCGATTTCAAATTCTCTCTCGCTTTATATATATATTATATATATATAAATATCCATCTGATTTAAAGAATTTCTCTCAGCTTCATACTCAAGTTTAACCGATANATATCGCACTTAAATATATATATATATATATATATATATATAGCATGATTTATGAACGACGGACTCTATCTATGTATGTCGGTTTTGTGTTATAATCAGTCACCCTATTAAAGGAGGAAAACCATTAAAAGGGTACATTCTTAGTTTACGTTTGTATGTTAAGCGCTTCAGAAATATTACCTATTTAAATAATTTTTTCAATGATTTTACAACTTAAATATTTTTTTAACTGTTTTTATTAATTTATTTTTCTATTATGGTTTTTTTGCTTAAATTTTCGAAGTATTATTATTAAAGTGTTGTTTTCATAGATGGCAGCACTGATATGTTATTTGCATTATATACAATTTTTACCAATTATTTTATACAAAAAAGCTAAAAGCACATAAATTATATGTTTTCTTCTTAGCAGTTGTTAAGTATTAGGTTAGTATAGGTAGGTTAGTATAAATTTTTTTTAAATTTATTTCATATCGGTAAATATTTTTTGCATCCCTTCTTTCATTTCAAGCTTATTTGCCACTACAATTTTTTTTAAATGTTTTAGTGGCATTACAAAGAATGATTTTTAACTAATGATATTCATTTTGAAATGCTGTTTGAAATGCCTGAAGAGAGCTTTACGTTTTCCCATCATTATCTTTATTATCTTTTAAATTATATTACGTTTTTATATACAAATATACAGAGAGAGATTGATTGATTGATTACTTAGCATTCTTTCCTTACGAAAATTTGCCATAGGTGTGTCATAAAAATACAATGGGATATTCCTATCCTATGGGGTTTTGCCTACTGTAAAATATTGCCATAAACCAGTCTTTCTCAAAGTGGGAGATAACGCCCCCTTGGGGGCGTTTGAAACNTACAAATATACAGAGAGAGATTGATTGATTGATTACTTAGCATTCTTTCCTTAGGAAAATTTGCCATAGGTGTGTCATAAAAATGCAATGGGATATTCCTATCCTATGGGGTTTTGCCTACTGTAAAATATTGCCATAAACGTATGAAAAGTTTTGTTATAAGCGTATAGCAAATTATCATGCGCACATGGTAAATTTTCGCTTTTCATATACAGGAAAAACGCATGGTAAAATTTTACCATAGGTAAAACCACATTGGGACTGTGATGCCGCAATAGGCATTACATATTTCCTAGCCTTTAAAATTTCTTGAATTTCTTAAACTTATTTTTCTAATTATTCTTAATATAATTGTAATTAAATTAAATCAATTAGTTAATTTTCATTAAAATTTATAAAACGCAAGCAAGCATAAAATAGTTTATTCTTTTCTTATCGATCATTGTAAAGGCTAACTTTTTATTTCAATACTAATATAGACTCATTAATTCACTGTCACGCCTAATCGAAAACAAAAATCTACTTATAACTAGCTATTTTTAAATTTCTTACCGCAAATATGTTTCAGTTACTTGGTTATGCTAATTCTCACAGACTTGGTGGCGATTAGCGATTTGGTATTATACAAACCTAACAATTGTTCCTCAGTGGGAACAATTCAATTACTTTTTAATTTGGCTTTTGATTAAGCAGGTCACGGGGGATTTGCCTCCCATGGCCTGTCCTTATTAATATTATTATGCGAGATTTATTATTTATCTTAGAAAGTCTTATTATGGATATAATAATAATTTGCGTCTCGAGCTCCACAAATATTAAATAAAAGTTTTCAACTGCCATTTTCATTATAACTCCAACCACTCCTGATTTTCGTCATTACATAAAAGGGTGTCGTCTAGGAGAACCTAATCATCGGCTTTTCATCTGTGTCTAAGGCATTTTATCCTGTTGAACGTTTTCATCGATATAATTAATAAAAGTGCCGATAAATAAGACAGATTATTGAAACAGCATTAATAGACAATCGAACTCATTCTTCTTTCGATTCCTAGGAAAGCTTGGAAGAGATTCTCGTCCACTTGTGAGATTGTTGCCTCACCGCACATGCTGAAAGTTTTTGCAGTACCTGATCATAGAGGAGAAATAAGAAATCTCTCCTCTAAGTGCCTGGTAAACATTTGTTCCTTCCACCCCTCTCGTCATCGCTGAAATTTTGGCAGTGCCTTATCTTAGAGGAGAAGTAAGAAATCTCGCCTCTAAGTGCCCGATGGACATTTGATTCTTCCACCCCTCTCGTCATCGCTGAAATTTTGGCACTGCCTTATCTTAGAGGAGAAATAAGAAATCTCTCCCCTAAGTGCCTGATGGACATTTGTTCCTTCCACCCCTTTCGCCATCGCCGTTGCAGGTTGGATTTCATCGATGCCTGATTTGATTTTCACCTACCCGAAATTGTTTTGATGACATGCAACACCC